GCAGAAGCCGAGCCAAAAGGCAGCCGGGGACAAGAAGAAGAGGGTGAAGAAGCACCATGCCAGCAGGAACCCCGTCCTGGCCCGCGGCATCGGGCGGTATTCCCGCTCCGCCATGTACGCCAGGAAAGCCCTGTACAAGCGCAAGTACACGGCTCCAGAGACAAAGGTGGGATAGGAAACACTGTGTTTGAGCCACTGGGGTGCCTTTGGTTTGAAATGTCAGGAGTTCTCCCTGTTCTTTGCCTACAGATAGAAAAGAAGAAGAAGCAGAGGCCTCGTGCCACCATTACCAAGCCAGTGGGTGGAGACAAGAATGGAGGCAGCCGGGTGGTTAAAATCCGGAAAATGGTATGGAAAAGCAGTGGGATGTTCATGGTTTGAGGCTGTTCTGGGTAACCTTGGGCTGGGTGATGAGCCTCTCTTGACTGAGGCAGCTTAGGGACCTCAGGCTCAGCTGTGCTTCAGTGAACTGTTGGCAATGCTCACCTTGAGATACAGATCCAGGGTTCTTGGGAGATGGTGGAATTTAGGGTGGGAATTTAGGGAATGGTTGTAGGCACGAGCAGCTTCTGTGCTGTTTGTGTTGCTGTGCTGAGGTGGAAGCACACTCAGAAGTACAGAGCTGGCTGCAGCTTTCACTGTGCACCATTGCCCAGGAAACACTCCGTGTGTTCCCATCACCGGCTGCAGCAGAAACAAATCCTTCAGAAAGCTGAACTTTGGGAAATAGGGAGAATCTTGGTGAGGGGTTTCTGCCGTGTGGAATGCAGGTGTTAAACCACGTTGCTGCTCTCCCCTCAGCCCAGGTACTACCCCACGGAGGACGTGCCCCGCAAGCTGCTGAGCCACGGCAAGAAGCCGTTCTGCGAGCACAAGCGGCGGCTCCGCGCCTCCATCACCCCGGGCACGGTGCTCATCCTGCTCACCGGGCGGCACCGCGGCAAGGTGAGCCCCCCTGGAGCCCCCCCAGCCCCACGGGGAGCTGAGATACCCCAGATCTACCAGCTGATGTCACTGGTCAGCCGCTGGGTGCAAATCCATGGCTTGTGTCTGGATGCTTCCCTTGCCCGGCCGTTAAGGGATGCGGACTTTAAATGTTTTTTAAATTAGTGGTTTTCTGCACAGAGCTGGGAGTAGGACAGGCTAATCCAGTTGCTTAGACAAAATTAAAGGAGTCTTGCAGTGCAGAGCAGCAGACCCTGGTCATATTTCTATTGCTGCTGCAGCAAAGGCAAAACTTAGTCTTAGTAGCTACTGCAAAGAAAGAATTACATTTTCATTCTTAATCTAATTATTAAGGTAACAGTTGACTGTTACATTTTATACTTCATCTTAATGATGGTTAACTAACATCCTTTACATCCTTTATTTTCTTGAACATTCTTGCTTTATGTCACATTACATAAAGGTTGTTGTTCAGAGAAGGCAAACTTGACCAGAAACAGTGAGACAGCTGGGGGATGGCTCTGACCATGTGATGTTGTGATGCCTTTCTGGGTTTTATCCAGTTCCTGCCTTTAATTCATATAAAGAATTTTGGGGATGGGATGGCTGCTGCCATCCTGTAGGATGGGCAAAGAGTAAAACTGTAGTAATTGGGTTTGCTCTGCCTTGAGCAATGAGGCACATGGAGAGTCCCAGAGGAGGTCTCTGGCAGAGCTGTGCTCATGGAAGTGCTGTAGTTTGGATCCCAGGGTGGCAATTCCTCAGGTTGCACAGCTGCACCCACACCTGGAGCACTGTCAGCGCCTGTACCAGTACCAGGCCTAGTTGGGCACAGTCCCAGTTTGGCTGTGGTACTGGAGTGCTGGCACCTGAGAGCTGATGGCACATCTCGTTCCTTTACAGCGTGTTGTCTTCTTGAAGCAGCTGGACACTGGCCTTCTGCTGGTTACAGGTAAAAACATTTACATACTCGTGATATTTTTGTTTGGTTTGGGGGTTCAGTGGGTTTGGGGTGGGTTTACCAAGTTCAGGTTTGTCTCTGGGGTCAGTAGCACAACCAGTCTGCATGTGGGTGCTTTGGCATGTCATGTGTTCATGGGACAACATGGAATCACGTTTTGTGGTGGAGTCCCCATCCCTGGAGGTGTTCAAGGAATGACTGGACGTGGCACTCAGGGCTCTGGACTGAGTGATGAGGTGGGGATGAGTCACAGATTGGACTCCATGGTCTGGGAGGTCTTTTCCAGCCTGAATGATTCTGGGATTTGTGACTTTGCAGGAAGGTGGAGGGGAGATAATTAAGCTTCAGCATCTGACTGTGTAGAAGAGACCAGGAAGCATTTTTTGGTATTTCTAGAGGGGAAGGGTTTTAAATGTTCAGATTTTAGGTGTAGGCATCTCTGAAGGAACTAGTCATCACATACACTACAAAAATTCAACTTCAAAGCAACTGTTTTCACCAAAAAAGCTGATTTTGTTCTCTTCCCTCTGCCTTCAGGCCCCCTGGTTGTCAACCGTGTCCCCCTGCGTAGGGCCCACCAGAAGTTTGTTATTGCCACGTCTACAAAGGTTGATCTCACTGGAGTGAAAATTCCCAAACATCTCACTGATTCCTACTTCAAGAAGAAGAGGCTGCGGAAGCCCAAGCACCAGGAAGGCGAGATCTTTGACACTGAAAAAGAAGTAAGAGATGTGGTGATTCGTTGATCCTGAATTCCCATGTGACCCCAGGCCAGGCTCCAAGGGGGGAATAGCAGGGAACAAACAGCTGGATTTTAAGTGGCCCTTAATCAGATGAGGTGATGCCATTAAAATAGATTAATACAGCACTGAGATAAAACCCTGCTAAATTTGGGGATTCTTCTCTGCTTGTACCTCAGCAGACCAGCAGCAGGGATTATTCCAGTTGAATAAATAAATATAAATCTCTTTTTTTGAGTGAGAAACCCCTTTCCTGGTTGGATCCTGCCAGCAGCATAAGCCAAACAGTGGCTTCAGTGCTGAGCTACCTCAGGTCTCCCACCCCATTCCCCTCATTTAGAACAAATGAAGATTTCATGAGAATGTCAAAACATAGGGTTTTCCCTGAATTTTCTCCTTTCTGCAGAAGATTCTGAGGTCACCGTGCAGGATTTTCATGTTCTTCTCTGTGCTTTGCAGAAATACGAGCTGACGGAGCAGCGCAAGGCAGACCAGAAGGCCGTGGATTCCCAGATCCTGGCCCGGATCAAGAAGGTGCCTCAGCTCCGTGGGTACCTGCGCTCCACCTTCTGCCTCTCCAATGGAGTCTATCCTCACAAATTGGTGTTCTAGGCCTTCTGAAAGCACCACATTAAATTCCAAGGGAAAAAAAAAGCAAGGATTTCTGGTGTGTTCATTGCAATCTGTGACAGCACATGTTGCACGAGGCTTGCCGTGCATGATTTAACAGGTAGAAAAGTGCCTGTGGCATGAAATTCTGAGGGACTACGTGTAATGACCAGAACTTTGAGTGTAAGATTTGGGGTGTAGTAGTTTTGGTTGGTTGGGTTGAGTTTGTTACATTTTTTTTAACTATTTAATATAAACAGAAATTCAGCTTTCTTAACTTTGAATGAGCTGGGGAGGGATCCTGAAGAGATTTTCTTTTGGGCATAGCAGATAATGCTGGGTTGCCACAGTGCACAATAAACCCCAGCCTAATTCCTGCTGACATACTTCTCTCCACGCTTGCTGTGCTGAAACCAGGGCTTTGGGGGTTTTTTTGTGGAGAACCAGCTCTGTCAATAAAACTTTGCAGGTAACTCAACATTTTAAACCTTTTGTGCAGCTCTTGAGGTGGTGTTTGACAAACAGCTTTGATTCCTCACTCACCACATGAACCTCAGCAAATATAGAACTTTTTAGAGGCATTTCAGGAGCTATGCCTTGGATTGTAAAGTGGAAGCACTGGGAGTACTTGAGTTTTGCACAGTAACTTATCCCTGGAACCATAACAAAATTTGGAGAGTATGTCCCTTTCCTGTTCTTTGTTTATCCTTGTGGGATGGAATGCTGTTAGTTGGGAGGAATACCACCTGCTTAGATCAGAAGGCAAATCCTTAATTCTGTAGGCTTGGAAATTGGTTGAAAAGCTGTTTCTGTGAAAGAGAAGTATTTTTCTATCCTGGGAGACTTCTGGAGTCTCAGTAATTTTTCCTATTTCTAAAACTTTTTGACAGTGAGTTGAAAAAGTTAGTCCTGTGTGTTTTCTTGATCTGTCACAGTCAGCAGAAATCTGGAAGAGGATGTCTGGGTAGCAGTAGCTCTGCTCTTACAAAAGCCAGGGATGTACATATTAACAAACCTGGCAGGCTGGAGCTCTTTCTTAGCCAGACTTCTGCAGGAATGGAGGATTATGTAACTGCACCATCTGGCTGCCCATTAATTCTGAGCTCAAAGTAGCCAACGGGGTCAAACTTGATGAGGAATAAGAGATTTCATCAAATTCATGCAAGATTTATGAGAAGGGGATGGGAAAGGGAGCAACACAACCCTGTCTGAGGTGGGAGCTTACAAGGCACATACTGGCCATGCTCTTTGGGAAAGAGGAATTGGGCTTTGAGTGCTCCAGAGGCAGTGGAATAACTCAAGACACCTGCAGAACACCTGGCTGGCACCCAGGGGCTACAGGTATTGGTACAGCTGGTGCTGGGGGGTGTCAAATGTGTGTGGAAGTAACAGCACTGATTACTTAGACCATCTCTCTCTGGATAATTAACAGGCTGGGAGAGCTGAGGGTGTTCACCTGGAGAGGAGAAGGCTCCAGGGAGAACTTAGACCCCCTTCCAGTGCCTAAAGGGGCTCCAAGGGAGCTGGAGAGGGACTTTGAGTGACAAGACAAGGGGGAATGGCTTCCCACTGCCAGAGGGCAGGGTTAGATGGGATGTTGGGAAGAAGTTCTTCCCTGTGACTGGTGAGCCCTGGCACATGGTGCCCAGAAAACCTGTGGATGCCTCATCCCTGGAAGGGTTCAAGGCCAGGCTGGACAGGGCTTGCAGCAACCTGGTTTAGTGGAAGGACTCCCTGCCCATGGCAGGAGGTGGGACTGGATGAGCTTTATGGTCCCTTCCAACCCAAACCGCTCTGGGACTCTCTGTAAGTAGCAGGAGGTTCAGCAGGGGGAGGCAGTGAGCCGGCTGTGTCCCGGTGCAGAATTCCTGCCCTGGCTGAGTGAGTGTTTCTGTTGCTCTGTGCTGTGTTCTGCCCTGTGTTCTTTATTTTTCCCTGTCATTTTGTCTATGATGAGTTATGTTTTCTGTTGTACTTGGTTTGCTGGATCATGGCTATAGTCAGAGGATTTTAAGTTGATGGGAGATTTTCTTGCAGTGGCAGGACTGGCTTGTTCACATAAACAACTCTAAAAGGATACAAAAGGTTTGCACACATCTCCCTGCTGCTGCTCAGGTTAAGTCCACTGATACTGCCAAGGAGAACTTTTAACCCAATATGCTTAGAAAGCTTGGTTAAAATAAAAATTGTATGTGGGAACACTTATATGGGAAAAGCCCCATTGAGCAAGTAGAATCAGAATAGTTTGTATCAGCACGTGGTATTGCAAGGTCTGCAAACCCAGATTCAGTCACACAAATTGTGGCCTGAGAGCAAACTGAAGGAGGTACTACTGCTCCAGTCATTCCCTTCCCCTCTGGGAATGGGGAAGTTGCAATAACAAAATAGCCCTGTGGGTTTGCCTAAAAACACAACAGTGTTCTCTGTAATTAATGACTGGTTACCTGACACATTCCTCATCTGTGTATCAGAAGACATGAAGTGATACCTGCACCCATTACCCTTGTTTACTGGCAGGGGAGGCTTTTTCTCCCAATGTGCTGTCAGGAAGAGGTTTGGAAATAGGATCCTGGTGTGGAGCAATGGCCTCACGTGCTGCCCTCACCTTGGTTCTGTCACCTCTGTGGTGACCAGGAACACACCCTGCAAGGTGAGCAGGGAGGGAGGGAGGGATATCTCTGTGCTGCTGTCAATCCCTGGACTGAGTCACTGGGCCCAGCTGGATGCTGGTGTCACACAGGGATGTGGGAGCAGGCCTGATGGAAAATTGGAACACCAAATCCTGCCTTTCCGGGACTGAGCAGCTCCTTGGGCTTGGAGACAGCACAACCTTCATTGTCCATAAGGAAAGGCAGCCACTGGACAGCTGTGATGTGTCTCTCTCTAAAATATTTTCCTTGAGTGCTGCGAAATCTGCCTTCTTCCTGAGCTGCTCCAGGTGACGGATGGAAAACAAGAAAAACAACTACTGTACAGGTGACTGACACAGAAACAAAGTGAACATTCCGAAGGATTTTTCACTGTCCACTACCTGGCAAATCCTTGCTCCACATAAAGAGCCTTTGTGTGTGCTCTGCCCGTCCCACAGCCATTCTCATTCCAAGCATGCAAACAGTTCTGCAGTCCTGGCTCGCTGAGTCATTGCTTTTCCCTGTGCAGCCCCCACAGAAGAAGCCAGAGCCATCCAAAGCCTCCCTCACCCAATCAGAAGTGCTGGAGATGTGCAGGGCCAAAAATAGTGACAGACTCAACCACAGCAGCACTTCATTAGCATCAAATGTGCTCTTTGCTTCAGCTGCCTAATAAAGTGATATGTAATTATAATAAAGCATCCTTTGGAGAGGAAAGAGAGAGGGATGTTGGCTTTCCCAGGGAATTGGTAATAAGATGTGATGCCTTGTTATCTCCAGGCACCTGTTCTTACCTGTGAGATGTGCAGTGACCCCGTGGGTGCAGTTCCAGCCTGGCTCTGTCCAGCTGCTGTGTCAGGAACAGTCTCAGGGAGGCAGCCACTGGCTTTGCTCCTGGAATGAGGATCCTTTGGGACCAGGATCCTTAGGAGAAACAGTCTTATCTGCAAGACAAAGTACTTTGCAGTGCCAGGTTTGTAGAGAAGGTTACTTTGGCACACATGGGTTTAACTTTAATTAAGAGAAGATGGCTGTGGCTGGAGTGTGAAGGAGCTTTTACAGGGCTGCCCCACATTTTGGGACTGGTGGTGAGGAAAATATGCTAAATTCCCAGATGTCCAGGGATTGCTCAGTTCACCTGTGCTATAGGAAATGCCTTGTCATGGAGAGGCTGAACCTTTTCCCCCCACATATTGCCACCTGATCCCTGCCCTTCTTGTCATAGTTTGCAGAACTGTTGCCATTGGTGCAAAAAAAAGTCGCTCTGGATCTCCCCACAAGCTCAACAAAGAATAAATAAGAGTTTGGGGACAGTTTTTTTGTCTTCACCTGGAAGATGATGTGCTTTAGCAACAGAAAATGGAGGCAAGAGCAGCTGAGAAGAGCTGGCCTAGGCAGTGTCCCTCTAGCAAAACCAAGATGATTCCTTTTGCCCTTCTCCAGGTGCTGATTCCCATCCCACTTTAAATGATTCCAGCATTAGAAACCTCATCCAAATAGACTTTACTAGCAGAATTTGTTTCAGATTCTCTGTATATTCTTCTTTCAGTACATTTTTTCTTGTCCTTCAGTAGAGGGGCTTCCTGGTCTCTCCTTATTAAAATCAACTGGGTATAAAATCAAAACTGGTTTTTTGCAGCTCCTAGAATTTTATCAGCTTTTACTCTGTTACCAGACAGACACATGGACAGCTTAGTCTGAGATCTAGAACTTCACAGGACAGTCATCTAAACTCCACTACACTTTCTTCCATCCTTATTGTTCTGAAGCAACATGTCACATAAATACCAGTCCTATGGGTACAGAACTAAGAGCTTCTGCTCCTGTTGTGTTTTGGGAACAGCATCTGAAGTTCCCAGCACCTGTTAATTTGATTTCTCCAGTTCTCCTACATTACAATCTGCACTAAGCACTTGATAACTCATTGTTTAAGCAATTAGAACAATTAAAGCCTTATTTTTATAAGTATCTTATTCCTGTGTTGTGCAGGAAGCCACTGATTGAGCAAAGCCAGCCACTGTCCCTGAGTCATGCCTGAGGGTGGGTCTGGAATGGTTACATGTGGAATTTGACACATGTGCCAACAACCAAAAACATTTTTCCTTGTTCAGCTGCTTTTCCATTGTTTGTTCTTTGGGGTTTTTTAGGGGGGCAGTTTTGACCCTCTGACCTATGAAGAGTCAAAAAAACCCCCATGTTTGTCAGCTGACTGCCTTTTTTGGCTAATTCTTTTCCCTTTTCCCACCATTATTTCAATATTTATCTGGGAAATGACTTCACATGATAGATTGCACACAGAGCCAGCAGCTTCTATGACCTAACCATGGTTCACACTATACCAGACATAAGTACTTATTAGTTGTAATAATGATGAGGAGAGAGGGAGCATGGTAGTCAAAATAGTACTTGAGATTCAAGAAATTCAATCTTTTTCTGGGCTCCATTGATTTTTCTGTGGGATCCTGAGCAAGTAACTTAATTTCAGTGAAGTCAATGTTCACACACTGCAGAAAGCAGAGATACTTTCTCATATCATGTCTCAAGAAGTGTTTTAAACTTCTGCAGGGAAAAAAATTATGTCTATGCTTTAAAGTACATAAAAGAATAAAAGGTCTTTGCTTGGATGACACTGAGGAGGGAGCTGATACATTATTCTAATCTTGTTCTAGTGAGATCATATCAACATTTAATACTAAAAAATACAAACATTGTGTTGTGTTGAAGACTGGCACAGGTGACAGGAGAAATCAATGTTTTCACAGTCCTGTTTATCCCTTTTAATGCTGTTTTTTTGCAGAATTTAGTCCATTTTATTTGTACAACTCGAATATTCAGAATGTCTGGTGCCATTCTGTGCTCCTGCACTTTGCCCAATTAGCAGTTCCCAGTGCTTTGCCTGCAGATTATTTTTAATGATGATAATAACCAGCTTTTCATACTTTACATCCACTGAGCACATTGGCCTTGTGACACCCAGCAGAGGCAAAAAACTGCCATTAGAACACCAAGAAATTACACAAAGGTAAAATCATCTATTTATCCATTGAAGCAAGTCAGTGAGTGCAGAGAACCACACCAAGGCTCTAAATCTCATGGAAAAAATAGAGACTAAACCAGAAGCAATTTCATCCTCATCTCTTCTGTCAGTCCTACCTAATGCAGAGGGTTTTCACTCTATTGACAGATGCACTTAAGATGTAATTGTTTTTAAAATTAAGGCTTTCAGGTATCACCATGGGCAGTACCTGGTATCTTATTGTTCAAAATGCCCATTTTCACATGAGGAAGTAAAATACAAGCTAAAACGTACAAAAGTAGTGCAAATTATGTCCTTGATTCCAAAGGGAGGAAGGTTAATTTTCACAGCAAGGAGATATGAAGACCCTAAAAGAATGATGCACCCTCAAAATGTTCCACTGGAGATGTCCAGGTATCATGAGCATTCCAGTTCCTGGTGTGAATGTCCTGCTAAGCTGAAGGGAGGATCTGTTTTGGGGAATTTCATAGAAATTGGTGAGTAACCATAACTGTCCCTTCAAATAAGCACAAAAAGAATGAACAAATGCCCCTCTAGAATCAGGGAACTGAAACCACAGCAACTCTTGCTCAAATGAGAGGCACATGGCAAAGCTTCTGTACGTTGCACATTATCCACATGGCTTCCCTGAGCCTGACCCACAGTGCAAAAAGGGCATTTGAAACCTGGAGCTTTGTGTTTGTGTGAGAGAAACACATGCACAGAGCAGAGCAGGGACACAGAGGGAGAAAGGGGAAAACTGCATTTTAAGGTTGCTGATGCAAAAGAAAACTTCGAGAGGGCTTTTTTTTTTTGTGTCCAAATCCTGGCTTTGGTCAAAGCAATGTGCACAAAAACCTGTGGTTTATTTAATCCAGTGCTCTAGGAAAAAAAGCTTTCATGCTTTGTAATTAAACAGGACTTCATCAAGGCAGTATCTCACATCCTCCTGTAACTGTCTTCTAACACAGGTGACCCATTAATCCCCAAACTGCCCAACAGCTTGAATGAAAAATATAAATTAAAATAATATAAATAACATTCTGTGGCTTGGGTTTATCTGCAATAAGTGCTGATTTCACCTAAAGGGTGTCCCAGCATGATCCATTCAGTGCAGCTGCTCCTGAGGATTTATAATGTAGAATTTCTGTCATTCTTCCCACTCTTTCACCCTGAGCTTCAACTTTTCATGTCATTCAGTTGCCACCACACCAAGCCTGGGCAGACTGGGCAATCAAGCCTAATAAATGGCTTTTTAATGTGTTTGCCCTGCACAATGAACAGCCACATGAGAACAGTCTGGCAGACTGGAGCACAATACATGGAGTGTGGTCCCTGTGTTGCACGTGCAGGGCTGGGCTGATGTTATTTGTCTGTGAAGTAATGATCTGATGAAGGGGGTGATGCTGGAGGAGTCCTCCAAGCTGTGGTGGCTTTGGCTGACTGACAGCACTGCTTTTGGGTCTTCTGTTGATTGATTGTAAAGTAATTTGAGTTGAAGGGCAATTCACTGTTCTTCATGGTTTATCTGTAGCAATGTTATTTTTAAAGAAACACTGATATTGTTAAGCACAAAATCAAGGTACATATAACCATTCCAGAAAAGACTGACTTTTACCTGCCAGGACCAGGATTTTATAAGCACATGCCACTCCACTGCAGCATCATAAACTCAACTCTACAACATTCCAAACAAAGAAACTCTCCTACCTGTAACAGCATGAAACGATTTTCATCCATCCTGGCTTCACCTGCAGGCCAGTCCAGCCCAAATCTGTGGAATGATGAATTATTTGGCCTTTACTGGTTTGTGCCATCTGGCTGTAAGGAACAGAGGGAAAAACAGGTGAGTCATAGTGAGCATAAGAAGACTGAACTCTCACAGAAATCAGCAGCATCCCTTCACTGACAAAACCACAGCAGACTTCTAGAGCCCTTTTTGTTTGTCTCCCTTGTATTTATATCCCATCAAATTGTTCACTCGCGGTGACTTTACTGTATAATAGTTCTTACTCTTCCTTTAAAAGCAGATTCTTGGCTGGAAGTAACAAGTAAGAAATGCTGGAAATAACAAGTAAGAAATACTGGAAAGAACAGGAGAAATGCTGCAAGAAAGAAAAGAAGGGAAAGAAGGCACTATGGGAAGAGCACCTTTGGAGATGTAGGCACTTACAGCTGCAAGACAGCACCACACAGGGAGCAAAATTGTTCTCCCCAAAGGAAAAGCCACTCCAGTTTGCACAGCATGGCTTCAGCTCTCAATTAGTGCCTTTCAGTCTTAAGTTTGTTTTGAATGCCTGTCACCACTGAAGAGAAAATCAGCACAGACTTACAGTTGCTCAGGCCAGGGATTCACTGCCCTGCCTCCCTTTCCTCAGCAAAAAGGGTTGTTAGTGCTGCAGTGCCTGTGCAAACCTGCTAATTAAGACTTCACAGTCTTGGAACTGATTGATGAATTTCGAGTAAAAGACAAAGATGACAAAAGTTCAAAAGCCACCTCATTTAAAATTCTCATTTGAAATCTGACTTTGGCTCTTTTCTTTGGTGTCCTGTTGTTTCAGAGTCCCCAGTCATCCATCCCTTTTTAACACCATCTCCTTACTTGGAGATGTGCTTGTGAAAGGTGAGTCAGTTTGGGGTGAACAACAAGCAGTGAGTTGGGGGGTTTATTCCCAAGATTTCTACCAGCACAGGTAACTGAATAGATTTTTTGTCAGGGTTGGCACAACTCAGTCTAAAATGTAAAAAACCACCTCCAGCCTTTTGCCATAACCAGCTGCCTCAGGCCTTTCCCTCTGGGTAACACCTACAAAACAGGGCTGGTGGACTCAAGCTGGAAACATTCTGATTTTTGACATCTCCTCCAGGTCCCTCTGCTTTCTCCCATCCATGGGCTTCTTGAAACACAGTGATGGGTTCCAAATCCAAACACAGGCGGTGCTTTGTGTTTTGCTTTCAAGCAGTTCCATTTTGGGTCTGTAAAACATCACAGGAAGATTTTATTTTTCAGTGGCTCTTACAGCTGCTACAGAATTCTAGGGAATGAGGAAAAATCAGTAGTAGAGACGAATTCTTGCCAGTCATAGTAATTCCAGCTTTCCACCCACTTACCTCTTCATACATTTCATTTTACTATATTTATTACATATATTTTAAACTCTCAATGTCAAAATATTACTAACCTTACTGTATGATGGAGTTAGACTGAGTTATATGAATGAAATTAAATTAGCCCAATATTTATAAATTTTTCTAGATAGTTTAAATTTCTACTACTCAAAAAAAGCTATGAAAACTTATAATTTATCTTACTCTTAAAGCATTTTTTTTGTAACAAACCAAGACTTTTATCAACAAATGAAAAAACCAAGATGCACTTGCTTCAATTTTTTGATTAGTTCTGCTTTGTCACAGAGGAAAAACATCCTTATTTGGGAGTGAAATGGAATAATTTGAAACCTGCTTAGGGTATATTGGGTATCACTGTAGCAGGAAGATGCTGAAGCTTGACATAAATATTTATATATCTGTGGTTCTGATGGGATGATTGGGTGTAAAAAGGATGTAAAATGGTATTAGGATACATGTATTATAACTTAAAAAATCTCCTCTGTTGACAGTAATGATATAAATATGGATAAATAATTATAAATAAAATATAAGCTCCTGTAGGTGTCATAACAATATTTTTCTGCAACTCTATAGGGACCATCCCCAAGTGAGTTTCGATGCTAAGGGAGATTTTAAGAAAATGTACAGCTGGTAGAAAACTTACCAGAATTTGAAACCAACTCATCCTGTGAATAAGTCATATTTAACCAAACTTCAGTTGGAAAAAGAACGGAGGAAAATGTTAAAACAGGTATTTGGAGTTTTCATTTCAGTATTCATTTCATCCAGCATCACTTCTGAGCTGCAGCTACAGCTGCTCTCCCCGTGTTTCCCTTTGCCATCAGGTTTGGGGGGTGGGAACATCCTCATCCTCTCTCAGGAAGTCTGAGGCAGGTTTGACAAATGCTTCAGTCAGAGCTGAATGAACCTTCCAGGGAGGAGAGGGAATCAGGCACAGCCTGGGATTCACTGTTCCCACCTCCCATAGAGCTGGGAAGGGATTCACATCCTCTTTGCCTCTTCGTACCCAGGAGATTTAAAATTGTGTCACGGGGCTGTGACTCCATGTGGCACTTACACTGACTTCACTAAAATGAAAGCTTTTAAAATTTTGCTTTTAAACACAAAATAGAAAAAAAATTAGACAATTTAGCTGTCTGCCCTGGAACAGAAGATATATTTGAATAACAAGGCAATGCTCCTAAAAGAGAAATCAAAAGTCTGTGTGTTCTGTGTCAGCAACTGGAATTCTTTCTTGGTGTCAATAAATAGCTCTCAAACAAGTGGATTTGCAGGATTAGTATTTCAACCAATTTACTTGGGAAATTAGAGAAAATTATTGAAATGTAGAAACTCAAATTATTTCTTCATAGTCAAGGAGAAAATCAGCTTATGACACTTTTTCTTTCCAAGAGTTTAAAATAAAATTTTAGGTAAATTAAAGGGTAAATATGAAGCCAGAGATGTTCTGACAAAGGTATGTGTTGTATTTGTGTCTGAGCATCAGCCCCACCTTGGTGCTACTCAAAATCACTGCTGTTCTTGCAGCAACCATTGATCCAAAAACTTGCCATTTTTGGAACTCATTTTCAAGAACTAATTTTAAACCCCTCAGATCTCAGCCCAGGCTGTCACAGACCTTGTGAATTTAACATTGCAAACCCTGAGAAACACAAGTGGACCTTGTAATAATTTGTATGAATTACATAAACCCACCTCGTTACATTTATATCTTCACAATCTGGAGCAGAATATTGTAGCAGAGGTGTTTTTTTTTTCATTTATTTTTCCCTCGTGTTACTGCACCAGTTTTCAGAGAGGTTGAATTTTAAAACAGCACCGAATAGCTGTATTTAAACCTACCTATTTTTGGATATTAATAATGAGCCTTCTGAGACATTTGAGATTCAGAAATTCAGGACAACCACTCAGGGATCTGTTCAGCTCCCAACCACTCTTCCTCACTGATGGGTAGCATTTAGATCCTTCCCTCCATGAAAGGCTACTCGAGTAAGAAAATGAGACATGAGATTAGGGAGAGCAGTGTTAAATGCCAGCTTGCTTTGCTTGTGCACCACAACCAGAATTGAAGTGGAAGCTGTTATTTCATTTACAAGCCCAGAATGAGGCAACAATATCACCCAGCTGCAGGGAGAGCAGAGAGGACACGGAGACACCGAGTAGGAGAACTGCATGGAAGACAGGAATCTGTCTGGAACATTTCACATTGGTGAGGCTTCATCTAAATAGCAGCAGCTCAAGGGAGGTGTGGACAAGTTGGAGGAAATCCCAGAGGAATGATGAGACTTCCAGAATACATGGCCTGCAGAGAAAGTTTGAAAAGCAAGGATTATTTAGTGCAGAGATGATGGACAGGAACTGTGGTCACAGCTCTCATGGGTGAAGAAAACTGCACATGAGAGGAAGGAAATAAACTGTTCTCTGGGCCTGAAAAAAATGGAAAAATGAATGAAAAGGCTTAAATTGCAGTAACACAAGTTCAATTGTGGATTAGGAAACTCCCTGACCGTGATGACAATTCAACAGTGGAAGAGATGGAACAGTGAGCTGTGGCTGCCCCATCCCTGGAAGTGTCCAAGGCCAGGTTGGACAGGGCTTGGAGCAACCTGGGATAATGGAAGGTGTCTCTGCCCATGGCAGGGGGTGGCACTGGTTGAGCTTTAAGGTCCTGCCAACCCAAACCATTCTGGGATTCCATGATTTCATGGATGCAGGCAGAATCTCCACCCAGGTGTGTCACAGGTAGTGCAGTTACAGCTGGGTAACAGCACTGCATGAGGTTGTCTCTAAGAAAACATTCCAGCATTTTTATTAGAATTCTATGGTTTACATTTGTTTCCTGCCCAATTTCAGTAAGGCTGTGTTTGCAAGGTAGTGATTCATACTCATGTTTTCTATAACAAATGATCTGTATTCATTTTAATAAAAATATCTTTTTACTTGTTCTTCCTCCCTCAATCCCACCTTGAAATCACTCATCCTTCAGCAATTACTGCCCTTCTAAATGAGAAAAATGGGAATATTTTTCTTTTGCAATTAAAATACATTTCTGAGGTTCGAAATTATTTTATTTCACTGTCTAGTTTGTTCCTCTCCTCTGTCAAACACTGTTTTTTTTCCCCTTCAGTCCTTTCTAAGTTTTACTTGGAGAAAAAAAATGAAGGAACTGTATTTTTTAATCCCACTTAGTGTGCCAAGAAATGCCACCATTCTGTGCATAGTGGCCTTATTAATAATGGCATTCAGGCTCCCTAAATAACATGTACCAGGATTCAGGGGATGGAAATCTGGTTATTGCAGCCCACATGAAAATAGCAACTATTTCTTCTGTTTCACACATTTCTTAGTGTCACAATGGTCATTAATACTGGAAGTGTCATTTCTAAATGAACAGAAAGATGCACAGCAAAGCCTTAAGATGAAAAGGATGTTCACCATACAGAGCTGTTAATATAAAATTAAACTGGAGGGTGAGGCAACGTTACCTTAAATCCCATTACATAATAGGCAAATTCCAAGCAGGAATTTCCATGGGCAGCTCACAGGACTGAATTTTTCCCCACAGACCATTAGCATGTTCTGGTAAATCTCAGTAACTGTGAGCACAGAGAAGCACAAGGACACAGGAGACCAGCACAGGAAGGAGCTTATCCCAGGCTCCTGCCACCAGAGGCAGAGGTGATGACAGCAGCTCGAGAAATGCTCAGTATCTGCTCAAAAATAATGAAAATAATTAAAAGCAATGAAAGCAAAAGGCTGTTTTTCTGTACAAGCCTGTTTACAACTTAAGGATTTTATTCCCTCCACTTGATTTCTGTCACAAAGTTATTCTAGTCTGGTTTTTTAGTCTCCCATAAAGTAGTACAAGGTTTCTTTGTAGTTCCTGCTGTACCCCTCTGACTGCACATTGAAGTTACAGTGGCTGACGTTTGCTGGTGACAGGCAGAACAAAAATATTATATATTTTTCATTATATTACACAACATCTCCTGCAGCAGATGCCAGGCAAGCTGCATGATGTTTATTGTATCCATAACAGCCCTAATATTGAAAATTTCATGTAAAAACCTATATCAGCGTTCCATGCTATGTAAGTTTATAGATTGTCCTGTTAATTCCTGAATGGCAGGCACTTAAAATAATTTAGGAAATTACACTTACTAGTAATTATTTTATTTGCCTGCACTGAGGCAGGACAGGACACATTTCTCAGTTTTATGACATTACATGAGTTCAATAACTGATTTTTGAGTCCGAATTTTCAATTCAAACTTAATTGAATTCAGAAAGAACTCCACATAAGCAAATCAATAACTATAAAATGGTAAATATTCCCTCTGTTCAGCGTGGGATAACAATGTGGCTATGCACCTCGTTCTATGCCTCTCCTGCTGTGGAAGCATCCAGAGCTACACTCACTCTTCCTGGCTCTGAGTCAGCTCCTCATTCCCGTACAAGGCCTTGGTTTGTATTTCAAGGCAGTGGGTTGAATCCACAGCTATATCAAACCTGGATCCTCCATCTAGGAGCTACTGTGGCAACCATATTCCTCTGGGATAAAGCAGTCCAGAAGGCCTTGGAAGGATCATGGGAGAGCTGGAGACAGAGAATTTTGAGCCTGTGGAAAAGTCCTTTGGAGAACAGACACATCCAAAACTGTGTAAAACACTGCAAATCCCTTCTGTTGATGTCCTTCCTGATGCAAGCTTGTGAAGGGAACATTCCACTTTACTCAGCTCTATTTGTATTGATTTTATGGAAGATACTCAACTAGTACCATGATAGTATCACAAAATCTAAATATGGAATGTTTTTTGGCGTTACTCCCACTAAAATGTACAAACAATTTGTGTTTCTCTTCCTCTGTTCCTGTCGCATGTGAGTGAATGAAAACAATGTAAAACTCCTACTCTGGTAACAAAACAATAACAATAACACCCATCGCTGTCTCACAACAAAATATTGTGACTAATCTAACCTTGGCAGCTTTTCCCTTCTTCCAAGGAGCCTTCAGCTTATCTCACCTGCCAGAACTCAGCTGCCACGTCCCACCTGCTATAAAATCTTCAAATCTCAGCACTCCCTCTCCTCTGAATCCTCGCAGGGCTTCCATGGGAGGATCAGGGTCCACCTGCAGCCCTTGTTCTCTGTGTTGTGTCTGGACCAAAAATAATAGATGCCCATGAAGTTTCTCCCTCACAAAAACCTTTGATGGCAGCTCTCCATACCCTCCCTGTTCAAAAATTACTCCAGCACAGAGGCAAATAATATCTATTTCTATAATAAAACCCGGCCTGAAGACTCTTCTATGCTCCAACACATGAATGGCAGGGATACCAAATACAGTGTACTGAGCTATCACACAGATCTCTAAATAACTGGTTGTACGAACTTACCTGAACCCTGTTTCAAATGAACTGGCCTCAAAAACAAGCTGCACAATTGTGTGAGTGCTCACATTGCTGAATCAGGGATACAAAGAGGCTTTGCGTGGGTCCTGTGTTGAGTAGTCATCCATTACATGGAAATAATGCTTCTTCCCAACCAGATTTAATAGGACATAAAACACTGGAGGTAGATCTCATCTTACTCCAGCTCTGAATAGGCTTTTCCTCCAATACCACAGCACATTTGTTATAATGCACTAATATATTAAATAATTTAATCTGATCAAACAGGTAAATAAACGCGTGGTGCTCCGTCTCTGGTTGTGCACAGTCACCGTTCCATGAAAAGCAGACACTTGTAATGGGAATCCCCACAGCAATTATACACTAAGAATATTTAACATTTACCATCACGTCTCTCTCATTAGCATGATCTGTCTCACCAGTACTTTGCTGAACATCCAGGTACAGCTGCCTGTGACACTTTGTGTCTCTGAACAGGCTCAGGTCGAGGTCTGAGGCAGCTGAGGGTGAAATTAGGCTGATGAAAATGGGGAAGGTTATGTGATGCTGTCAAAACGAGAGGCTGAGAGACGGAAAGATCAATTTTCCTTTGCATCCCATTTTTTCCACGCATACTGTGCTGTTGCAACCCTTTTGCTTCACACCCTCTGGCATCCTCATTGCATGGATAAATCTGGAGGTATGGATTTTAAGGGACATACCTGTTCACTCACAAGTCCTTTGGGAAAAAGCTGCTTGAGAGGTGACAGGATTCCCGTGAGGAGGTGACAGAGAGGGACAAGGCATGGAGAAAGGGAGATTATTCTATGGGGGAGCAGACAAAATACGGGTGAGCAGAGGTGCAGGAGGGGAGAAACAACCCTGTGGGGAACGTGAGGGACCAAGAGGGAAAAGGGTCTATTCAGAAGGGCTTTACTGGCCAAGTGGGTGAAGCTGAAGAGTGAAACCCTTAGGGGAATGGTGGCCTCACCCTCCCTCGGGGTGAGGGGCTGAGGGAGCAGCTCTGGGGCTGAGGAAGCGGTGGCGGGAGATGGGGAGCTGAGGGGAGCGGCCATTGCGTGAGGGGGCGAAACCCCCGGGGGGCGACCCTGGGGGAGCGGGACAAGGCGCTGAGGGGGCATTCCGGGGGACGTGAGGTGAGGCGCTGAGGGGAGCGCCCCTCGGTGCGGGTGAGGCGCTGAGGGGAACGATTCCAGCGGGCTGAGGCGAGGCGGTGAGGGGACCGCACCCGGCGCGGGTGAAGCGCTTCGGGGAGCGCACTCGGTGCGGGTGGGTCGCTCCCCCCGGTCCGTGTGAGGCACTGACGGGACCGTCCTGCGGTGTAGACGATGCGTTCCCCCCGGTGCGGGTGATGCACTGCCGGGACCGTCCCGCGGCGCGGGTGACCCGCTCCCCCCGCTCCCTGTGAGGCGCTGACGGGCCCCGACCCGCGGGGGGGGTAAACGCGCTTTTCCCCGCTCCCTGTGAAGGCGCTGCGGCCCCGTCCCGCGGCGCAGGGGGGGGCGGGCGGGACCCTCCTGTGGGCGGGGCTCGGCGCGGGGGGCGTGTCCCGGCGCGGGGGGCGGGTGCCCGTTGGTGCGTTTCCGGTCAGGGAGGGGGCCGGCTGTATGTTCCCCCGCGCGTTGCACGCCGTGGCCCGCCCAAGCCCCCAATGGCGTCGCGACTGTC